GTATGTCTGAAGTAGCTTGTAATATTAAATGGAATGGGATTTTTGCCAATGATAATAACTATTGTATAATATTTGTGTGGATCCCATCCCATGTTGGAAAACATGACTTTGTAGATCGATTGGCCAATGAGGCTTGCAGGAAAGAAAACATTGATTATGACTTTGGACTATCTAATGCAAATATTAGAAACATACAAATTAAATAAATTAATTCAGATTTAGAAGAACTAAGAAATGCCCAGAGACCTGACAGCTGCAGTATTAAAAGCTCTGACAACCTTTGTAATAATAGGTATTTGTATGGTCAGCACAGTAACCGGACCAGGCAATGTGATGTAGTCAATGCGCGAATTCGCCATGGCTATAGACACATCTGGCAGGTTAGTGAGGCTGAGCCACTAAAGGAATATTCAGATTGTAAACTCTGTGATAAACCTTTAATGCATTCACCAGAACACTATATTGTTGAATGTGAAATCGTGAAAGATTTCAAACCTCCTGGCCTCTTGTACCACCAACTGTGTAACTATTTTATTGACTCAGGTGTTCTGGACGACATCCTCACAATTTATCCAAAATTTGCTTGTCCATTTTAAAGAATGAAGAACAATTTTATTTATATTACTTCTAAGCTGCATCACTTATGAACCCATCCCTGCCCTTGTGTGGCAGTGCACAGTAGAAAGTTGTTTTCACATATTCATACATTAAAATATTGATTGTAACCATGATATATATATATATGTGCTCCAGTCTACAGTTTAGACCTATTGTCCTGTGTTTAACGCACAGTCCTGCATGACAGTGAATACCATCATTATCCTCACTTTAATAAGACTTAATTGAAATCCTCAGATTAGGCAAAATTGTAATTTTGTCATTTTTTTGTCACTTTATTTTGTCAATAAAGATATTTATAATAATAATAACTAGGTTTTTTCTCGCGATCTTCTCCATCACCTTGTATGGTATACAAGTTAAGGACACTGGCCTTAACTCCATACACAGTTTCAAATGTATATATGATAGAGCACAGTAGGCTCAGGAATCTGTACACCAGTTGATTGACAGTTGAGAGGCGGGACCAAAGAGCCAGAGCTCAACCCTCACAAGCACAGCTACGTGAGTACAACTAGGTGAGTACACCATAAGCATTTATCTATTATAGTAAAGAGTCTCACGCTCTCTGGGTGCAACACAATCTATGAAATATTTATGTTCCTCACATTTGGGTTTTCATTGAAGCCGGCGTTGTCCCCCCACACACCGCGCGCCACACACAGCTGTGACGCCCATACACGCTTGGCTCTGGTAGTGCAGACGAGCTAAAACCGTGACACTCCATCACAGAAGCTGGATAATTTGGGACCTGAACACCGCAGAAAAGCTGAACAAAGCCGTCGACTCAACAGGTTCACTGTCTCGCTCACTCACTCTGTAGACGCGTCGGCAGAAACTAATTTTATTCTTACTAAGAACTCCCTGGAACACCGCCCGTGAACTTGGGAGCGAGAAATAGGCAGCGTGGAAGGGTTATGGCAAAGCGTGAAGGCAATGGGAAAATATGCAACAATAGGGAGGGCCAGACCCAGGCTAATGGGTAGGTTCATCAGAGACCAACTCCTGTCATAAGCAAAGATTCGCAAGCCCTGGTGTTGCCTGCTTGTATTTGAGTAAATGTTGGCACTAAAGAGGCACACAGGGTTAATATTAAACCTGTAGAGGCACACATGGTTAATATTAATCCTGTAGAGGCACACAGGGTTAATATTAAACCTGTAGAGGCACACAGGGTTAATATTAAACCTGTAGAGGCACACATGGTTAATATTAAACCTGTAGAGGCACACAGGGTTAATATTAAACCTGGGTTAATATTAAACCTGTAGAGGCACACATGGTTAATATTAAACCTGTAGAGGCACACAGGGTTAATATTAATCCTGTAGAGGCACACAGGGTTAATATTAAACCTGTAGAGGCACACAGGGTTAATATTAAACCTGTAGAGGCACACAGGGTTAATATTAAACCTGTAGAGGCACACAGGGTTAATATTAATCCTGTAGAGGCACACAGGGTTAATATTAAACCTGTAGAGGCACACAGGGTTAATATTAAACCTGTAGAGGCACACAGGGTTAATATTAAACCTGTAGAGGCACACAGGGTTAATATTAAACCTGTAGAGGCACACAGGGTTAATATTAACACCTGTAGAGGCACACAGGGTTAATATTAAACCTGTAGAGGCACACAGGGTTAATATTAAACCTGTAGAGGCACACAGGGTTAATATTAAACCTGTAGAGGCACACAGGGTTAATATTAAACCTGTAGAGGCACACATGGTTAATATTAAACCTGTAGAGGCACACAGGGTTAATATTAAACCTGTAGAGGCACACAGGGTTAATATTAAACCTGTAGAGGCACACAGGGTTAATATTAATCCTGTAGAGGCACACAGGGTTAATATTAAACCTGTAGAGGCACACATGGTTAATATTAAACCTGTAGAGGCACACAGGGTTAATATTAAACCTGTAGAGGCACACAGGGTTAATATTAATCCTGTAGAGGCACACAGGGTTAATATTAAACCTGTAGAGGCACACAGGGTTAATATTAAACCTGTAGAGGCACACAGGGTTAATATTAAACCTGTAGAGGCACACAGGGTTAATATTAAACCTTTAGAGGCACACAGGGTTAATATTAAACCTGAAGATCACCTCCTGTTAAGCCTGGGCACCTGGTCGTCCTGTATGCCCTCCTCCTGTTAAGCCTGGGCACCTGGTCGTCCTGTATGCCCTCCTCCTGTTAAGCCTGGGCACCTGGTCGTCCTGTATGCCCTCCTCCTGTTAAGCCTGGGCACCTGGTCGTCCTCGTAACATGAGTATGCAGCAGTTCGAGCTGCACCTTAGTAACATTTATACGGGTTACCTTAAGGTACTCATCGTTAACCTTGGTGCTATGCAGCTTTCAGACTGTGTGCGTGTTGCATTGCTCTCAACAAGTGCAGTCTTCACACTTGGATATCACAGTGATTCTTCTTCGCCCAAGTACCCTGGTAGTCGCTGATCCTTCGTTTAAAGTATGCCTGTTAAACCTTGGCCTTTAATCAAAGGGCACTTGGTAAATCTTGTATAAGTTATCTTGGTCAAGGTTTTTTTTGCACGTCCCAACACTTTTGTAGCGTCCCAACACTTTTGCAGCGTCCCAACATGTATAGGTCCCAACACTTTTTTTTTGCAGCGTCCCAACACTTTTGTAGCGTCCCAACACTTTTGCAGCATCCCAACATTTTCGGAGCATCCCAACACTTTTGTAGCATCCCAACATTTTTGCAGCGTCCCAACATCTTTGCAGCATCAACATTTTCACAGCGTCCCAACATTTTCACAGCATCCCAACATTTTTGCAGCGTCAGACATTGTCTTATGGGTGGAGGGAGTGGTGGAAGAACCCGCAGATAGGTGGAGGGAGAGCCAGTAGGTGGGTGGAGGGAGAGCCAGCAGGTGGGTGGAGGGAGAGCCAGCAGGTGGGTGGAGGGAGAGCCAACAGGTGGGTGGAGGGTGAGCCAGCAGGTGGATGGAGGATGAGCCAGCAGGTGGATGGAGGGTGAGCCAGCAGGTGGGTGGAGGATGAGCCAGCAGGTGGATGGAGGATGAGCCAGCAGGTGGATGGAGGGTGAGCCAGCAGGTGGGTGGAGGATGAGCCAGCAGGTGGATGGAGGGAGAGCCAGCAGGTGGGTGGAGGGAGAGCCAGCAGGTGGGTGGAGGGAGAGCCAGCAGGTGGGTGGAGGGAGAGCCAGCAGAGCCAGCAGGTGGGTGGAGGGAGAGCCAGCAAGTGGGTGGAGGATGAGCCAGCAGGTGGGTGGAGGGTGAGCCAGCAGGTGGGTGAGCCAGCAGGTGGGTGAGGGTGAGCCAGCAGGTGGGTGAGCCAGCAGGTGGGTGAGCCAGCAGGTGGGTGGAGGGTGAGTCAGCAGGTGGGTGGAGGGTGAGCCAGCAGATGGGTGGAGAGTGAGCCAGCAGGTGGGTGGAGGGAGAGCCAGCAGGTGGGTGGAGGGAGAGCCAGCAGGTGGGTGGAGGGAGAGCCATCAGGTGGGTGGAGGGCAGAGGAATGATGCTGGTGATGGTTGTGGTGGTGGTGGCAGGCCGTCCACTTCCTGGCCTGGGGCAGGCGTGAGATAGATGGCTACAGGCCACCGACCTGCTGTGTCCCACACTTGCATGGGGTGTCCAGCTTGGGTAACTGAGGTAAGCTTACCCACTACCTTACTAAAGATGTGAACCTCTACCCCTGACTGCATATATGACCAAGACTTCTCTCTCTGTCTCTCCTGCACGGCTTTCTCCTGGCAAATATCACGGCGGTCTTGCAACACACACCGCCTACGAGCTTTGAGGATGAAGAGGAAAGTTAGGATGCAGTTTGGAGAATCCCAAGTATAAAGGAAGTGTTGAGTGGAAATCCCGTGCGCTGTGAAGCAGGTTGGTGGTGGCAACACGTGGCCTTGCCCTGACCCTCCCACCCCGCCCGGCGCCCATCACCTCCTCCTCACAAGGACTCCTGGACCACGTTGTCCGCGCCAGGACAACCGCACTCCTTCCCCCTCTAACTATATCACTTCTCAGTCCCTATGCTTGGCAGCTGGGCCGTGGCATTTCTGCTCCTTAGACGATGATAGTATTTCATGGATAGAAGGGTAAGTTTCGTGTGCCCACGGCCTGCTTTCGTTTCACTTAGGCAAAGTACGTTGTGAAATAAAGTTCACTAGTGGGGTATTTATTATAAGTATTGTTTGCTAATTGATTGACTTAACTAATGCACAAATTTGAGAATCATGATTACGTTAAACGTGTTTACAGTGCATATTATTAATAATGGCAAAATGGTGCGAATAGTATCTGGAAAAATCATATTAAAAAGGTAGTTGGAAGGTGGAGGGAGGCGGCCACATGGTGCGTGGCGAGGAATCAGCTGATGGCGGCGAGCGGTAGCATAGCACGTGAGGAGCCAGTTCAGTGCCGACCATCAAGGAGGAAGGCCGCGCTGGTCCTCTCATACTTCCAGTGTGACCTGTAATATTTTTTCTTGTGGTGATTGCGAATTATTTGACTGACTTTGTACATTATTAGTGATCACAATGGCGAGCTTAACACTCGAGGAAGATTTAAATGCAGCAGCATGCTTAGTTGCCATGAAGGGGGGTCGTAGGCTGAACCCATGGGCGGCTCCAGACACCCACAGTCAACGCCCACGCCTTCAAGTAAAAACTAATCTACCGCTGCAGAACTCGTACCACGACCTACCACCCACCCACACCCCGGCCTCCAGCCCCGAGCACTCACCTTGCGTTGAATACACACATCACACCCTGCCCCTTTCTCCCGCCCACCATATGTATCAGCCGCCCACTCCGCCCACTCCTCCATCGCCTCCCACGTCCAACCTGGAGGACCACTCGTACTGCCCCTCCATGGACGCCACAGACCCAACACCCGACAACTCTGTGTACCTGATTGCCAGCATCCTTGCCGACCTCAAGCGCGTACCGCAAGATCGGTTCGAGGTGCGAGAGAAGGACTTTTCGCCGACGATACAGGACCTTCAGACGCCCGCACACACTCCCCCACAGACACAAGAGCTCCCACTCGACTTCAGCAGAAGAGGAGTAAGAGCACCAGAGGCAGCAACCCCAGCACGGACGTCAAAAGGCGCGGGTGGGAGGCGTGGGCGTGGTCGGGCCACCCAGCACAGAGATAAGGATGATAAGCGCGCCCATCCGTGCAACTTCCGCGCCCACCCGTGCACCTTTCCCGGCTGTGACAAGATATACGGAAAATCCTCGCATCTCAAGGCCCATCTCAGGACACACACAGGTGGGTGATAGGTGTAAGCGTTCGTATGGTTACTTGCTCTTTCTTTATTCCTTGATCGCCACTGTCTTTAAAGTTATGATAATAGCAAACCGTGATGGATTATCTTGTCGATACTAGACGACCGTGACCGAGTAAAAGTGCATAAATGATGGCACTGAAACAACTGGACCTCTGATAATGGCATACGGATGATTTAGGTGACTGCGTACACGTACACTAGAGGATTCGTATGCAGATCCGGAGCCAAACCCCAACGCATGCTAACTATTGAGACTAAGAGAAACATGAAGTCTTGCGTGGAAATGCTAAACGTTTACGAGATATAAACAAATAAAAATGAGTGGACCAAATGAGCAATGTGCGTTACTCTGGTCAAGAAACGTGTGACAGAAGGTGTTGTAACGGTACAGACCAAGAAAGTACCGGATATAGCGGGTGTAGGGTGCTACAGATTTTTAAATCCGTTTCTCAGTGATTGTGGTGGTGTTGGGAGGGTGTTCCCGGGCAGCTGGGTGACGGGCTGGTGAAAGCTGGCAGCTGCTCCCCCACCTGCCGCACCTCATACGCCACTACTCTCCTTCATGCTTCGCGCTTTGTAACTGAAGAAACACAAATTATATGTGTGTGTGTGTGTATATGTGAGTGTATGTGTGTGAGAGAGAGAGGGAGAGGGGGGGGGTTAAAATTAAGGCAACGCCTAATGTGTAAATATGTGTTAGAAATATCACGATGATCTTGCGTTATGGTTGAGCGTGTGAGGTGGTTAGCGGGATGATGGTGGAGTGACTTAGGATTTCTGGGGCTGGCTGGGCTCGTGGTCCCCCTGGATGCCTGGCCGCGACCACGCTGGGCCCTTCACCTGGTCCTGCACAACCGCACTAGTTCTCACAGCTACAATCTTTCTGTGAGGTGTGCAAATGGTGCTCCTGCGGTTATGGGTTGTGATGACCGCAGAGCTGGAGGCTTGCTGTGTCAGGTATCTCCACTACCTAGTGTGGTGGTGAGTGCAAGCTGTCACTCTGGTGTAAGGGTGGGGTGGGCGAAGTGTGGGCGTGCCAGGCGGTGGTTGCGGTGCCACGCCCACCAGCTGACGCAGCAGGCGGTGGTTAGTCGATACGGGAAGTCTTGGTTGAAGGTGCCTACGCCCGGGGCAGCCTCCCTCCCCTGGGCGGATATTGCACCTGAATCAATACTGCCTTACAGGGGAATAATATGGTGACGGGAGGCAGAGGAGGCGTGTGGGAGGTCGCCAACTTGTTGACACGGTGGAGGGCGTGTGCTGCTGGCCCCGCGCCAAGGTTGCCTGCTGCTGCTGCTGCCGCTGCGCTGCCCTGCAACTTGCAAGGCCGATCACCTGCCCGCGCCCCCACCTCTCCTCCTGACCCTCCCCACTCCGTTTATCTCGTGCGCCACGCGCAATTATGATTAAAATTGTGAATGTTTACCCTCACAGGTAGTGTGAATGGTCATATGTATGTGATGGCTGAAGCAGTATTGATCAGCAGCGTTAGTAGTGCTGGGCTGCCACTGCCCCTCGCATGTAACGTAACAGATAAAACTACCTTTTTACGAGGTAGCGAGGAAAATCCGAACAGGTTGTGTATGGCGTGATTCCTCACTGGCCCATAGGTGGCGGTGAGGCTGGTTGATGCGTGGTGAGGGGCGGGGCTGGTGGTGGTGAGGAGTGTATGCTGGTAATACCTCACACGCCCACTGTCTCCGCCACACTCATCACCCAACGCACTCTTAATGACGTATGTTGGCACAGTTTTGTGTGTGCATTGTAGCCTATAGTTATGATCCATTTTCATGAGAGCTGTTGCAAGATATACTTAGGGTTGCGCATAGGATACAATGTGATGAACATGGAGATTGTACCCCAGTACGGAATCACTTGTAGTCGCCTAACTGTGCTTGTGGAAGTTGAGCTTCGGCTCTTTGCTCCCGCCTCTCAATTGTCAACTAGTGGGAGGGGGGGAGGGGGGTTCCTGAGCCTATTGGGCTCTATCTTTGAAACTGTGTATGGAGTCTGCCTCCACTACATTACATTTTTATATACATTGTTTATACCAACAACTGTAGCGCTTCCTGAGGAAGAGGAGAATTCCTAATGCATTCCATTTAATAACTACTCTTGACACAAAGAAATCTTTCTAATGTCTCTATGGCCCCTTATATGAGAACCACCCATGCTAAATAATGTCTTTATCTTCCCTATCAATTCCACTGAGAATTTGTATGTGGTAATCATGTCTCCCCAAACTCTTTTGTCTCCTAGTGACATGAGATGCTGTGCACGGCCACTTAGGTGAGGCAGACTGGTTACTACTGATGTCTTTATTGCCAGCTATTTATTACACTGACCGCACTATTACGAGCCGAAGGTGTATTGCAAGGCTGAGTGAGGCGCGGGTCCACATGTGTGGGTGTGGCAGTGCCAAGTATTGCCTACTTTAGGTAACTACCAACACTTGAAGGAGTGTGACAAGACCGCAGTGTTGAGGTGGGAGTAGTGTATTGGTGTGTACTGGCAAGTTGCCGTGCCGGAGTTGTATATTGGAGGTGGGCGTGGTGAGGCGGTATATTGGAGGTGGGCGTGGTGAGGCAGTATATTGGAGGTGAGCGTGGTGGGGCGGTATATTGGAGGTGGGCGTGGTGGGGCGGTATATTGGAGGTGGGCGTGGTGGGGCGGTATAGTGGAGGTGAGCGTGGTGGGGCGGTATAGTGGAGGTGAGCGTGGTGGGGCGGTATACTGGAGGTGGGCGTGGTGGGGCGGTATAGTGGAGGTGGGTGTAGGTTTGTATAGTATAGGTGGTCATGGGTTGAGTAGAGAAGGTAGGCGTGGCTGAGTTGAATTCTGCGGGTGGGCGTGGCATGGGTGAAAGTGAAGGTGGGCGTGTCTGAGTTGAATATTGGAGGCTGGTTTAGCAGGGGTGGGTCTGAAGATGATGGGTGTGGCAAAGGAGTGTTGATGGTGGTGGTGGTGGGTGTGGCTTTGACTGTTCTTTAGCTATTGCCAGCGAGACGCGTGAGACCCGCATGATGCAGATGGGTGGGAGATTGAAGTGATGGATATTCTCCCAAAGTTGTTCGTGAACTCGTGTTTTCGGAGTTTTTGGGATGTATTCCGTTGTGGGGTGAGGGGCGTGGTTCGTGTAGGGTGACAGGCGTGGTTCGTGTGGGGTGACGGGCGTGGTCCGTGTGGGGTGACGGGCGTGGTCCGTGTGGGGTGACGGGCGTGGTCCGTGTGGGGTGACGGGCGTGGTCCGTGTGGGTGAAGGGGCGTGGATGGAAGTGGAGGCGGTGGTGGGTGGTCGATACCTGGCTTGCATCACAAGCACTGTTGAAACATTGACGGCGCCCTGGGGTTGGCGAGGGAGCAGGTGGCCTACAGGCAGCTGGGATCACCGAACCCTCACAACCCTATCCCCAATACCCTAGTAGGCTACCCCACGCGAAGAAATAAGTAATAAACATTGTGTCCTGCACCGCGTAAAGCATTCCGACCGATCGACCATTCTGACGTCAACAGTCATTCATGACTGCTTGTGCTACATCGGTAGCCCAATGTTTTAATTAGTTCTGGGAACGTGGCAGACTACATATATGAGCCGCTTACGGATGTTGTTGGAGGGGCGTGGCCACCTTGTCTGCTTGCTGCCTGGAGACGCATCATAAGTCTGCCGTGTGGTCTAAGTATTGATGATGTTGGTTGTCGTGGCTACCGTGTCTCACTTCCTGTGTAGCCACCTTCACCGTTGGTGTACCTGACACGTGCGAGTAGTTGAGTGATGGCACGTGCATGCAGGTGTCGCACGAAAACTTACCGGGACACTTTATACATTGTTTCTATCACGGAGACATTTGTGTGAAGTATAGATACGGACCTAAAACTCAATTGTTTTCACTTTCAAGGTAAAACAAAGCTTGGAACAATTTTTTTTTTTACCATGTCCACTTGACACAGTTGGGTCTTACTGTCGTTTTGGTACGAATAATGAGATAAACAACCCAACAAATATTCTTCCAATGAGTAGGGAGGGAACGTTGTTATACCACACGCTTTAGCAACCTGTTCATATATACGTGTGACGCTGCCCAAGAAATTAGTTACTTCGTGCAAAATTGAAGCAAATTCTAGGAAGGTCATGTGTATAAATATGGTGTGACTATATATTTGCTTTATGCTGGTGGTAAGTGTACCAGCAAGAGGGTGTGTGGAGTGGGGGAGGCTGGGAGGTGAGGTGCAGCCAACCCAGCCTCACGGTGAGGTTTCTCAAAAACTAGTCAGCAGCAGCAGCAGCGCCCTTCACCTTTCCTGGGCGGTAGCAAGGCCACACCTTGTGTCCAGGCGCCTGCATGTGCCCATTGTTATTTATGAACATCTGTTATTTACTGTTATTTATTAACATCTGTTACTTATTAACATCTATTATTTATGAAAATCTGTTATTGATTAACATCTGTTATTTACTGTTATTTATTAACATCTGTTATTTACTGTTATTTATGAACATCTGTTATTTATGTAAGCAGGTAACAAGATCGGTCTATTATTTCTCTTAAGTAAAAGAGAATAAAACAGTTTTTCAAAGAGGTGAAGAAAGGTATTGCATCTTATATTTTAAACTTTGGGTGTCCGGCGCCGGATGGTCTGGGCCTGATATTCTTGCTCATGACTGTTGAAGATGGGGGAGAGCGAGGCAGGCGTGGTGGCCAGTTCCCACGGGTGGCTGTGGTGCTGGGCGGGGGATGAGTGACGACAACAAGGCCTGCACCATTACCCGGTGGCGGAGGGCCCGGATGCTTGGAGACTGGCTGGCCCTCACGGTGCGTCCTTGTCCACACCTGCACCCGTGCTCTGCCTCAACTCTCGCTCTCTTCACCATGCACCCTCCTCTCTTCCTCTCCCTTGTATAAGAGTGATCTCACAGTTGAAAGACCTGCCTCTAGTGGGTTAGTTTAAACACTGGGCCTAAGAAGTATCAACTATGACCTGT